CCAGGTGGGGTGCTGAGCCTTGGGCAAGGGGATGAAACCTCAACCACTCGCTTTGACTCCTTCTGCTGCTGCAGCCTCTGAACCAAACGTCACCTGCAGCTCTACCACAAAAATGCCGAGCCCTCCCCCGTGCTCTTTGGAAATTGTGGTGCCTTTGAGATTGGGCTCTGCAAGCTGCTGCTGCATCCTACAAGTGTCCCAGCCGCCGGGTGGAGGAATGGGGAGAGCTTCCCCCAGAACTCCCAAGGGCCACCGGACTGGTGACACATTGTACTCACGAGATACTCCTCCGTCCCATAGACAGACACAAACTTTTCATCATCCTCCAGCTCTCGGGCGGCCCCAAAATCCGTCAGTTTATAGATGCTCTGCCCGTCCTCCCCCACCAGCCGCATGATGTTCCCGGGTTTGATGTCTCTGTGGACGCCGCCGTTCTCGCGGAGGTGGTTCATCCCTGCCACTGGGCACAAGGTGGGAAGTTTGTGCAAAGTTTGTGCACTTTGCTCCAGAGGGTTTTGTTTAAATGGAGGAACATGAGAAGAGCCAGGAAGGGGATGAGCCCAGGACTGGCTGCAATTAAATGGGGACCAGTGCACCAGGGGAATGGAGAGGATGAGCGAGCACATGGTAGGGTGCTGCCCTCGTGCTCGTCCGTCGTGGGGCGCAGCCCCTTCCCACAGCTGCTCCCCAGAGCTGGTCTGCAAGGAGAAACCCTCAGGTTTGAAACCCAGAGCTCACGGACCCACTCCATGATCCAGAGGTGCAACCTCTGACCACTCAGCTCAGCGCCTGCATCCGTAGCCCAGGGCTGGTGCCCACAGGGTCCCGCCCGCCCACCGAGGTCCCAGCCCCGGGCTGTGCTCGTGGTGCCTGGCCAGAGCTGGGGGTGTGGGGGTCCCCGCACTCACCCACGCACTGCAGCACGATGAGGAACTCGGACTCGGCCAAGCCGAAGGCGTTCGCCGGGTCTTCCAGCACGTTCAGCAAGCTGCCGCTCGAGCAGTACTCCATCACCA